GTGTAGGGTTACTTGGAGGTTCATGGGTAGATATACGTATGGTTATAAGTCCCGTAATATAGGTTATGACTGCAGTCCCGCTACTGATAACCTTACTTATAACTACCCATGAACCTCCAAGTATCTGCGTGTCCCCATTGGAATTATAGTGAACGCCAGAAAGTTGGAACATGGGTTAGGAGGATTCGTGCTAGGATCCCTTATACTTTACCTTAAGGGCATTAGGATACTAATGTTCCAAGTTTCTGGCTTCTACTATAAGGGTTTAGGGTTCGGGGTTCATGGTTTACCTTAACCCCAAATAATCTGCTTTTTAAGGACCTATATAAAGAAATCACAATAAGGATCCCTACAAAAAGTAGGTTTTATAAGGGCCAGGTAGGGCTTAATTCTTTTTTCGTTACAGCATAAACCCAACGAGCTTTTCCCGGGTTCTACAGGGTTCGCACAGGCTCAGTTTGTGTGTTTGCGTGTTTTTATCGTTTTGGATTTGATTCTTTCAAACCAGGTCTCATAGTCGATGTTCTCAGTCTCACAATGTCTTATACTTAAGGTAGCATACAAGTAGTATAAAGAACCATAGTCCAACTGTATTTTCAGATAGGGCCGTAGAGCCCAATATCCCTCTCTTGAAAGACATATGTCATATTCTGAGTCCCTTTATAAGATAAGCTTTCTTCGGACTGTTAAGGGGTATGTAGATCTTAAATCAGATGGCCTCTACCCTAATCCTGGATGGCGGGTGAATGGTTCGGCCTCTTGGAATGTTGGATTTCTTGATGTAGGGTCAAGCTTTAGGATTGGGTTTAGGGCTTATCAATGTTTAGGGTGTCGGCGGCTTTTTGTTTTGGATTTTTTAGGGCTTCTCAGACCTGCCCTGCCGCAGTTGCTATAACACATTGGGGATGTACAGTTTTAGGTTTAGGGTAAAGGGCTGGCAGGTTTTTTTCGCAAGCCGAGCATGTGTGGTCGACAAGCACACAGCAGGAGGAGCGAGATTGAAGGCCGGGTTTAGGGTTTAGAGTTTAGGGATGGCGCCGTCCAAGGCTGTCATCAGCAGCGCTTTCTGCGCGATTTGGTATTCCGCATTCCCCCTCCTGTACCACCCAAAACAGACATGACGACTGATTGTCCCCTAAACCCGAAACCCTAAACCCTAAACCCTAAAACCCCTTAAACCCCTAAACCCTAAACCCCTAAACCCCTAAACCCTAAACCCAGTTCAGTCGCTTCTTGCTGGCTGCTGGTG